CCTCAGCTTCTCTAGTAGCTGGGACTACAGGCTCCCACCACTATGCCCGGCTAATTTTTGTTGTGAGCCCTTAAAAGGGACAGAAATTGTGCGCTCAGGGAGCTCGGATTTTGATTTTGAGACAGTAGCTTGCCGATGCTCCCAGCTGAATAAAACCTTTCCTTCTACAACTTGATGTCTGAGAGGTTTTGTCTGCGGCCCATCGTGCTACAAATATACTTATGCTTTGCTATATTTATTACTATTGGTCACTTAAAAGGGATTGCTTGGAAAGAACTAGATTGATTTTGCTAGGAATCAACCTTAAAGGGTAGAAGATTGTTGAAATTTGACCCTTTCAGTCTTAATCTTTGTTCCAAGCAGGAATCTGACTGGGGCTGCAGAGCTTGGTTTTTACCTCGTCCTTATCTTGCATAAGGAATGCTTTTGTTTAGGAAGAGGATCTGAAGGGTTTCTGGTCTGGGATAGGCCACAACCACTGTGGAACACAGTGATATTGAAGGATGGATAAGGCTTGCATGCTTTCCTTAGCGAGTTTATACAATCTATGCAATTTAGGCTTTCTTGATTTATATTCTAGAATAATGTCTATATTTATTTAAGTGGGAATCATTTTAATTTTATTTCTGATTTTTTATTCCTGTATTTTTGACATAAGTTACCTCCAAATCTACAATTTAATTAAATTTATCCCAGCTTTTGATCTTAGAATATAACGTTCATCCTTGTTTCCAGCATATCCACAAGAAAAACCCCAAGCTGCGTTACCTGAACCATGTGTCAGAAGAGGTTCTAAGGAGAAGGTTTCTAGTGATGAAAGAGCCGAGCTTTCCCTACTTTGAATGGAGGAAACACAGGCTGGTTTTTCTGAAATTAATCCCTGTTCTTTCCATAACAATATTACATTGCACTAGAGGGCCTAACCTAGGGATTGTCTTTTATGTGTAATTCAAATTCTAAGAAGAATAAATGAACTATAGTCCAGTCACCACTGTAACTCACAGCAGGGGGGAAGGAAGAAGTATGTGGTGTGTCACTCATAACAAGTTGGTGATGTTAGATTATAACCAGATGGACAAAGACACACGCAAAATCATTAGAGTCAACCCAACACTCTGGCGATAATTCTACGTTATCATTATGATGACAATTCTGTATCACAGAGTAATCTTTTTTTAAAGACTTTGTGAGATAAGAAAGATAAACAAAGCCCAAGCAATAGAAATATTACAAATAGTCAACAGATATGATGGTAGACATGAACTAAACCAAACATGAATTTCATCATGGGTGCTCACCATGCAATGGTGTGAATGAGAATGCATTGGTATAAGTGCATGATATCAGTCAGATGTCATCTAAGACTTGGAATCTATGTTCAAAATGATCAAAACCAAATTATGTAGCGCCACGTTAAAAAGATGGATATATTCAAAGTCTGGGGAATTGATTCAAGTCTAATTGAAGATGTAAAAATGTGAAACTTAAATTAGGGTATTGTTGAACCACAGAAAATCAGGGTTAAGACAAGTGCTGGGGCAAATGTTGGCAGCGCCCCACCAAGCAACTGCCCACAGGAGAGGGACTATGAATTTTCACATTCCATTGGTGAGAACTGTTGTGAAATGAACATGTCAAGTGTCATTCAACATTTACTTTATATAACTTCCTGTCTGATTCCTTACTCATGTGGTGGTTTAGAAGTTCCTGTTACTTAATTCTCCTGTAATTTAATAAATAGACATCCTTGCTTTATGGGCTTGGCTAACAGGAGTCTGCTCTAAGAGGTGGCTTAACCCTTAGAATGTAAATAAAATCAGGTCTCTGAGTCTGCAAGGCTAAAGGCCAGACCCAGATACATTTATCAAGGTTGTGAATTCTACCTTGCATGCCTTTTGGGGAGACAGTCCTTATTATTTATTTATTTATTTATTTTTATCTCCAAGGGAATGCCAATTATCATGACAGTGTGTATACTTTCTTTAAAGCATTATGTATGTGAATGCTTATGAAGTTTAGAGAATAACAACCTGTTAGCAATTAGCTAATCAAATAATGATGGGGCAAGACAGAGTGTTTAAGGATCTCAAAGAATCTCAGGCATGGAAGGAATCCTGATAAACTTCCTGCCATGTGTTGCCAGATCCAATGCTTAAGTGTGTAGTAAATGGAAATTCATACACCTGGGGTGGTCTGTTCCATTTCTAGGAAAATCTTTTTAAGGGCTTTTGGAGAGTTTCTGTACTCACCCTAGACCCCCTGAACTTTTTCCTCATTAGAAACATCTGTGACTATGCAATCAGAATGGCTTTTCTAAGCGCTTCCCTACTCTTAGTTCCATCATCTATTCCAGTGCCCTTTGCAGGAAAATCACATTCATGTTCCTGTAAACATGACAATTATCTTCCTGCTCTGTAGAATGCAGTTCCAGCCAAGCAAGCATTTCCTTGCCTTGCTATCACAAATTTTTAGATGATCCTTTTGCAGCAAGCTTATCATTACTAACCTTTGCTTTCCAAGTCCTTCTCATTGTTAAAATCTAGATCAGGGTGATTTACCTGGATGCCTAAGAACCTTCTACTCAATGTTAATGATTCTGAGGTCTCCACAAAATATCTAGATTGTTGGATATTCCTTCATCCCTTCTCCTTACTACAGCAGTAACTGTATCTTGTTTTATTTGGCCTTTATTTTATATCCTCCTTCCCTTCTTTCTTCCTGCCTTCCTTTCCTCTTACCTTCCCTCCCTTCCATTCTACCATGCTTTTCATACAGACACCAGTCATATTGAATAAGAGGACCCGTTTATTCCAATGTGACCTTACTTAACCAGTTACATTCTCAATGACCTTATTTGGCTATGAATTTCTGGGGAAGCAAATCAATCCAACTATTGGAGTATCTCAGAGCGCGTCCATGCCCAGTGATAACCACAAATGAGTAACAGCAATCACAGTGGACAATGGTATAGTAACCAGCAGCTCAGACCCTTCTGTCTCTCTTCTTTCTCTCCTCCTCTCCTTCCTTCTCCTAGAATTTCTGGCTGTCCATCACAGTTAAGAAGCAAAGATTGGATCTGAGTGGAGCGAATGACAGATCATAGATGACATTTTCATTATCCTGTCCATATTTCTCGGATCTTAGTGTGCTTGAGTCAGTTTCCATTTGCCAGAATCTGTATCTCTGTGCCTAAGGGCTCTTGTATTGCAATTGCAGAAAGCCATGTCACCTGTGCATTCCACATAGAGGAATATCACTCAACTCAACCAATGATTCTGGAGAGCTGATTTACAAGACTCTAGCTCTCGTATTCCTGAAGATGGAGATTGCTAATTTATGTGTTTTCCATCATTTCTGATAGTTTTCCCTTTGGCTTAAGCTTTAGTTGGTCACTGTGATACTTACTGGCTCAATAGTGTACCCTTTTCTGTATCACTTCCCTGATCCCTAATGGTGTGATCTGCATTTCCCAATAAAATACTTTCACTGGAATATTTTTCTCAGTATCTGTTCTGGGAGAAACCACACTATGACATTACATTAACTCTCTCAGTCTCAATTCCTTCATCTCTACAATGGTAACACTAATACCTACTTTGAACATTTCCTAGAGAATAAATATTAGTGAACATAAAGCATTTAGTCACTACCTATCAAGTAGTAGGCAACCTGGAACATATTAGTTCTTTTGTTCAGAAAACCTAAAAAATAATGTTAGTATTGAATATAAGAATATATTTATAATAACTAACTAGATCAACTAAATTCTTTCTTTACTAGCTTTATTGAGGTATAATTAACAAATAAAAATTGTGTATATTTAAGGTATAAAAGGATATGTTTTGATATATATATATTCATTGTGAAATAATCATATATTTATTAGCTCACATAGTTACCATTTCCTTTTTATTTTTGTGGTGTGAACACTTAAGATCCACTTTCTCAGCAAATTTCAGGTATACAATAAAGTATTTTAAACTATATCCACGTTAGAGTGCACCAGATCTGCAGAACTTATTCATCTTATATAACTGATGTTGGTCATGAAAATGTGCTTGTTCTTTGTCTCCTTTACCCCATCACCCAGTGACTATCCCAATCAGTGGCTTTTCTCTCTTTCTGGAATCTTCAGAGCATTCCACATATACAGTCTCAAAAGATGGCATCTGTATTTTATAAAGAATAACTTAAGTTCCTTTTGTTTTGTCAATATGTATTCAGGAGAAGAAGAAGGAGGCCATATAAGAATGGAAACGTTACCTGCAAATACAGGAGATTATTCCTCCATTGTTAAGTCACCTTAAGTGCATGTCTTGCTAATGCTGAGTTCCAATGTAATTTTTATTTTAATGAGAGTTACATGTAAGTGCTCTTGGACAGAAAGAGAAGACCCAACCTTGAATCTGAGTCTGTCCATTTGTAGCTAAATAACATCACACATTAAACTTTTCTCAGCTGGAAAGTGGAGGTAATAAAACATGACTGTCTGTTTTCAGAATCAAATTAGGTAACATGTACGATATGCAATACGTGTGTAAATCTCATATCAGGAATGCTGTAAAATAAAAAAAAAAACATGTGAGATGCAGGACAGTTTTGAGTTTATTAAGAAACATAAAGGTAAGAGTCCCTGTTTCTAGGGAGATAACCCTAAATGATCATGAAAGGAATAAGGATATAAGAACCATGGGGAGGACATTGAAAATGAAAACATGACTGTGAAGACCATTGATCAGTTGCAAAACCTAAGTTTCTTAGAGAAACAGAATGAAACTCTTGACTTTAGAGTCAAGTTGAGACCATGACTCCAAATTGAAAATACAGGAAGGTGGCACATGATCCACAAGGTGTAAAGAAAAAGAGAATCAGGATGAAGTACTCTACCCTCGCTTAAGCTGATTCACAAAGTGTTAAACATGCAGAGAAGTCACAAAAATTAGGGTGAGCAAAGTTCACCCTAAGTTCACTTTGTTGATTGTCATCGAAGTTTGAAAGTAAATTTGTCCTCCAAAAGATAAATCTATTGCCAGAGGGTTATTGTATGGGGATGATGGTCCTCTGTGGAATAGATCAGCAGCAAACAGGCTGGCAGCAAGTGCTCACACATGTGGGTTGGAAACAAGTGGTCCTGCAGCAGGTGGTCTCACAGCAGGCTGGGCGGCAGCAGGGCTGGCAGCAGCTGGAGCCACAGCTCTGATCTAGGCAACCAGGCAGGCAGACACATGTAGGGTGGTAGCAGGTTCTCCTGCAGTAGACAGGTGCACAGGAGCTGGGCTGGCAGCAGCTGGACCCACAGCTGGTTTGGCCACAGCAGCTGGACCCACAGCAGATGGGCTGGCAGCAGGGTGTGCTGCAGCAGGAAGGCTGGCAGCAGCTGGTCACACAGGTGGGCTGGCAGCAGCTGGTCACACAGGTGGGCTGGCAGCAGGTGTTTTGACAGCAAGTTGGGCGGCAGCAAGGCTGGCAGCAGCTGGACACACAGCAGGAGGGCTGGCAGCAGGGTGTGCTGCTGCAGGTGGTCACACAGGTGGGCTTCCAGCAGGTGGTCCTGCAGCAGGTGGTCCTGCAGCACGTAGGTTGACAGCAAGGGGAGCAACAGTTGGTCATGGTGTCAGGGGTGGAGGGTGGGTTTCTGTTCAGAGGTGAGTTTCCCAGAATGTGATGACCCCTTGCAATCTGGACCTTTTATACACCTGGCCTCCAAAGTTTCCACCAATCAGCAGGACTTTTCCTTGTTGCTGTTTACATTGTTTTCTATAGTCAGTTTGGGACTGTCAAAGGGGAAGTTGTTTCCTAAAGATTATGAATCTTTTTAAAGTAAGGGTTTAATATGTCTCTTAATTGTGTTTACTCATAGAAACTTTGTTTCAGATAAAAGGAAACCTGTCTCATCATCAGCATCGTTTCTGCTCTGACCATCTTCTCATTATGTGTTTGTTCCTGGTGACTGGGGAGGTTCAGGAAGTTCTCTCTACCTAGCCTCTTTCTTTGGCTATACCTAGGTTGGTAAGTGTCTGTGGAGAGAAGCATGATGTTGATATATTCACAGTGGTGAATTGAATCCATGCTTGGGACCAAGACTGTTCACCTACCGAAGTTTGATTCAAGGTTAACAGGCATCTCTCTATGTACGACCTACTTTACCTGTCTCTTCCAGTTCTACAAAAGCCACTTGGGAAGAGGGTGTTTGGCACAATGTGTTCCATGTGGCAGAGCAGAGCCAAAGCAAACAGGTAGAAAGAGGAGGAGTTCACTGGAATTCTCAAAGCATCAAGCAATCTACCTGCTGGGGCGACCATTCATCCTGATTTGCCTGGGACTGAGGGGCTTACTAACATGAGAATGTGCGACTGGGAATTACTGTGACATAACTGCTCTAGGTCCAGGCAAAGCAGTATGAGCTGTGGCTCTAGCCCTAATCCAGGTTACTGGCACAATCATTGCCATTTCTCTGTCTCTGTCTCTGTCTCTGTCTCTCTCTCTCTCTCTTTGTTTTCAATGAGGGAATTAGATGCGTTGAGATGATATCTGATTCCTCTTTGAGGTCTACCGTGTTTAAAACTTTTTAAATTATACCATTCATTTCAGAAGAATGCAAATTATTAATTTCCAGCTTGATACAATATTACATTGTAAATACATCTAAGTCCCCATGACCAGTTTACAAAACAGAAATTAATTCCATTCCATCCAAATTATATCTTTTTACTCATCTCCAAAGGTAGCTAGTCATTCTATCAAATTATAATCCTGTAGGTCAGTTTTGGATCTTTCTTTGACTTTATGTAAATAAAAATTATAGAATGTGCTTCAATGTGTTTTTGGCATAACCAAAAGCAGCAATTATAACCTGGTCATTTCATTTTGGATCCTTCATGTTAGCAGACCAGCAGGTAGATAAAGGAGTTGCTATTTCATGAGGGATAATTTTCATGAAGCCATAGAGTATAGGGAGAATATATCTGAAACTCAAGAGATTTACTATATGTATTTAAGTATTATACTGCCATTAAAAACTATGGCAAATCAAGTGGCTGAAATTTATTTTCTCACAGTTCTGAAGGCTAAAATGAAGGTGTTGGCAATGTTGTTTTCATCTGAGGGCTGTGAGGGAAGTATCTGTTCCAGGTCTCTCTCCTTGACCTGTAGATGTCTATCTTCTCCATGTGTGTCTTACATCATCTTCCCTCTATATGCGTCTGGTCTCAATTTCCCCTTTTTATACAGACATCAGTCGTATTGAGTCAGAGGCACAATTTATTCCAATATGACCTTATGTTACCATATTGCATTTTAAATGACCCTATTTGAATATGAGTTATTGAGGACACAATTCAACCCATAACCTCGGAATATCTCAGAGTGTATCCATGCCCAGTGATAAACACAAATGAGTAACAAAAGCAACCACGGTTGGACAATGGTATAGTAAGTAACCCATCAGGCAGGAAGTTCTGAGCTACCTCATCAGGCAATTATCTAGACCAAGAGGAGTGCTGGTCAGTGGTGAAGGGGAGTATAGAACTAGTGGAAACTGATGGAGATTATGAATTTCAGAAGCACCCTATTACAGCAGCAGTTTCTTTCTTCTTCTTTTCTTCTCTTCTTTTCTCTTTCTTTCTTCCTTCCTTCCTTTCTTTATCTCTCTTTCTTTCTTTCTCTTTCTTTCTTTCTTTCTTTCTTTCTTTCTTTCTTTCTTTCTTTCTTCTTTCTTTCTTTCTTTCTTTCTTTCTTTCTTTTCTTTCTTTCTTGTCTCTCTCTTCTCCCTTCCTTCCTTCCTTCCTTCCTTCCTTCCTTCCTTCCTTCCTTCCTTCCTTCCTTCCTTCTTTCCTTCCCTCCCTCCCTCCTTTTCACTCTCTCTTTCCTTCTCTCTCTTGCTCTCTTTCTTCCTCTCTGTGTATATTGTCTTCTTCCCGTATCTTTCTTAGTTTTTTCCTCCTCTCTCACCTTCTGTTCCTCCTCTTCCTCCTCCTCCTCTTTCTCCTGGAGTTCATGGCTGTCCACTACATTTAAGAAGGAAAGACTGGACTTGAATGGAGCAAATGTTACTGTAGACAGGTCTTCATTACCATACCTGTATATCATGGAACTTAGTGTGCTCTTACCAATTTCCATCTGCCTGAATCTGCACCTCTGTGCCTTAGGGCTCTTGTATTACAACTATAAAAAGTCATGTCACCTGTGCATGCTAAAGGGAGAAAAATACTCAACTGAAAATTCTAAAGAGTGGATTTATAAAGAGTCTAGCTTCTTCACTCCTGAAGTTTGAGAATTCAAAGTTGTGTGTTTTTCATCATTTCTGATAAATTTTCCTTTAGCTTAAGCTTCAGTTGATCTCTGTGGTACTGGCTTAATAGTATACCCTTTTCTGTATCACTTCCACAGTCCCTTCTGGTGTGATCTGCCCTTCCTAGTACACTATATTCATTGGTATCTTTTTCTCAGAGTATCTTCTGGGAAAAACCAAACTATGACATTACATTACCTCTCTCAGCCTCAATTTCCTCATCTCTACAATTGGAACACTAATGCCTACTTTGAAAGTTTTTTCAATACTTAATGATAATGTACATAAAAGATTTACACAATATGCATCAAATGATAGGCAACTGAAAACATTAGTTCTTTTCTCTCCAGAAAATTCCTAAACTAATTTTAATGTTGATGATAAGAATATATTTCTAATAATTAACTAGATCTACTTTTTTTTCTTTTACTTTAAGTTCCTGGACACATGTGCAGAATGTGCAGGCTTGTTGAATAGGTATACATGTGCCATGATTGTTTGCTGCACCTATCAACCTGTCCTCTGGGTCTTAAACCCTACATGCATTAGGTATTTGTCCTAATGCTCTCACTCCCCTTGCCTCCAGCACCCCCGACAGGCCCTGGTGTGTGATGTTCCCCTCCCTGTGTCCGTGTGTTCTCGTTGATCAGCTCCCACTTATGAGTGAGATCATGCGGTGTTTAGTTTTCTGCTCCTGTGTTACTTTGCTGAGAATGATGGCTTCCGGCTTCTTCCATGTCCCTGCAAAGGACATGAACTCATTTTTATGGCTGCATAGGATTCTATGGTGTATATCTGCCACATTTTCTTTATCCAGTCTATCATCAATGGGCATTTGGGTTGGTTCCAAGTCTTTGCTAATGTAAATACTGCTGCAGTAAACATATATGTGCATGTGCTTTTATAGTAGAATCATTTACATTCCTTTGAGTATATACCCAGTAATGGGATTGCAGAGTCAAATGGTATTTCTGGTTGTAGATCCTTGTGGAATTGCCACACTGTCTTACACAGTGGTTGAACTAATTTACAATCCCACCAACAGTGTAAAAAGCGTTTCTATTTCTCCACAGCCTCACCGGCATCTATTGTTTCCTGACTTTTTAATAATCGCCATTCTGACTGGCGTGAGATGGTATCTCACTGAGGTTTTGATGTGCATTTCTCTAATGATCAATGATGATGAGGTTTTTTTTTCATATGTTTGTTGGCCACATAAAAATCTTCTTTTGAGAAGTGTCTGTTCATATCCTTTGTCCACTTTTTGATGGGGTTGTTTTTCTTGTAAACTTGTTTAAGTTCCTTGTAGATTCTGGATATTAGACCTTTGTCAGATGAGTAGATTGCAAAAGTTCTCTCCCATTCTGTGGGCTGTGTACTCTTTTTGATGATAGTTTCCTTTTTTTTTTCTTTTTTTTTTTGAGGCGGAGTCTCGCTCTGTCGCCCAGGCTAGAGTGCAGTGGCTGGATCTCAGCTCACTGCAAGCTCTGCCTCCCGGGTTTACGCCATTCTCCTGCCTCAGCCTACCGAGTAGCTGGGACTACAGGCGCCCACCACCTCACCCGGCTAGATTTTTGTATTTTTCAGTAGAGACGGGGTTTCACCGTGTTGGCCAGGATGGTCTTGATCTCCTGACCTCGTGATCCGCCCGTCTCGGCCTCCCAAAGTGCTGAGATTACAGGCTTGAGCCACCGCGCCCGGCCAGATGATAGTTTCTTTTGCTGTGCAGAAGCTATTTAGTTTAATTAGATCCCATTTGTCAATTTTGGCTTTTGTTGCGATTGTTTTTGGCATTTTTGTCATGAAGTCTTTGTCCATGCCTGTGTCCTAAATGGTATTGCCTAGTTTTTCTTCTAGGGTTTTTGTGATTTTGGGTTTTGCATTTAAGTCTTTAATCCATCTTGAGTTAATTTTGTATAAGGTGTAAGGAAGGGGTCCAGTTTCAGTTTTCTGCATATGGCTAGTCAGTTTTCCCAGCCCCATTTGTTAAATAGGGAATCCTTTCCCCATTTCTTGTTTTTGTCAGATTTGTCAAAGATCAGATGGTTGTAGATGTGTGGTGTTATTTCTGAGGTCTCAGTTTTGTTCCATTGGTCTATATATCTATTTTGATACCAGTACCATGCTGTTGTGGTTACAGTTGCCTTGTAGTATAGTTTGAAGTCAGGTAGCATGATGCCTCCCGCTTTGTTCTTTTGTTTAGGATTGTCTTGGTGATATGGGCTCTTTTTTGGTTCCATATGAAATTTAAAGTAGTTTTAAAAAAAATTTTGTAAAGACAGTCAAGGATAGTTTGATGGAAATAGCACTGAATCTATAAATTACTTTGGGCAGTATGGCCATTTTCATGATATTGATTCTTTCTATCCATGAGCGTGTGATGTTTTTCAATTTGTTTGTGTCCCCTCTTATTTCCTTGAGCAGTGGTTTGTGGTTTCCCTTGAAGAGGTCCTTCATGTCCCTTGTAAGTTGTTTTCCTAGGTGCTTTATTCTCTTTGTTACAATTGTGAATGGGAGTTCACTCATGACAAGCTCTCTGCTTGTCTATTGTTGGTGTATAGGAATACTTGTGATTTTTGCACATTGATTTTGTATCCTGAGACTTTGCTGAAGTTGCTTATCAGCTTAAGGAGTTTTTAGGCTGAGATGCTGATGTTTTCTAAATATAGAATCATGTCATCTGCAAACAAAGACAATTTGACTTCCTCTCTTCCTATCTGAATGCCCTTTATTTCTTTCTCTTGCCTAATTACCCTGGCCAGAACTTCCAATACTATGTTGAATAGGAGTGGTGAGAGAGGGCATCCTTGTCTTGTGCCATTTTCAAAGGGAATGCTTCTAGCTTTTGCCCATTCAGTATAATATTGGCTATGGGTTTGTTATAAATAGTTCTTATTATTTTGAGATATGTTCCATCAATACCTGGTTTATTGAGAGTTTTTAACATGAAGGATGTTGAATTTTAATGAAGGCCGTTTCTGTATCTATTGAGATAATCATGTGGTTTTTATCATTGGTTGTGTTTATGTAATGGATTATGTTTGTTGATTTGCATATGTTGAACCAGCCTTACATCCCAGGGATGAAGCCAATTTGATCATGGTGGATAAGCTTTTTGATGTACTGCTAGATATGGTTTTTATAAACTTTATTGAGGTATAATTGATGAATAAAAATTGTATGTATTTAAGGTATACAAAGTGATGTGTGTGTATATATATACATATATATATAGTGAGATATAGTGAGATTTTCACCACAGTGTGGCTAATTCACATATTCATTAGCTCACATACTTGCCATTTCAGGTATAAAATAAAGTATTTTTAGCTATAACCACACTACTGTACAGTAGGTCTGCAGAACTTATTCATCTTGCATAACTGATGTTGGCCAAAGTGAATGTTTTAGGTCTTCATCTTCTTTACCCTGTCACCCACGAAGAATCACAGTCAATGGATTTTGTCTCTTAGCCAAGTCTTCAAAGCATTCTAGGTACACAGTCTCAGAAGTTGGCATGTGTCCTGGAAGTCTACATTGTTAGGTCATCAGAGGTATTTCTAGCACTTCCATGCTGGTAGGAGGTCCCACAAAGGTAACCCAGGCCCCAGACTTTTCTATTTCTCTCAGAGCCAGTATAAATCGGTCCTTCCATTAGTGAATACTTGGGTTGCATCATCAGTTTGGGGCCAACAGCACCAGCCATCTGTCTACCATGACTTCGATGAATGAACACATTTTTCTACTTTTAGTCCTTCTTACATTCTTCTGATTTCCCTGAAAACACAAATCTTTATTTCCTTGAGATGTTTAATTTTGGCCTCATAAAACATAGAAGATTGTTTTAACCCATCAGGTAGCTCAGAGATTATGGATTATGCAGTCATATGTGCCTGTTGCATAGTGTCTCAATCCCAAACTTTGTCCTTACTTAATTTTCCTGACAGCATTTTTATCAGGAAGTCAAATTGTCTAAATGTTTCATAATGTATGGTCTGTGTTTTATGTGGAATTACTTAATTCCATTTTGCTCTTTCAATGAAATTTCAGGAGAAGGAGGTCAGATATGAATTTGATTTGTGTGATACAAAGGAATTAATCTATTCAGAAGAGGACACGATGCATTCTGAAAAGTTTTTGATGCAACCTCTTGAAAACCAGAACAAGACAAACATGCCATATCTTACCAGTCCTATTCAAAATAGTAATGGAAGTCCTAGCCAGAGAAATATGGTAAGAGAAAGAAATTAAAGGTATCTAGATAGGAAGAGTGGAAATTAAACTATCTCTGTGTGTGAATAAGATTTTACACCCAGAAAACCTCATAGTCTCTACCCAAAACTCCTTGATCTGATTAGCAACTTCAGAAAAGTTTCAGGACACAAAATTATTGTAGAAAAATCAGCAGCATTCCTATACACCAACAACATCCAAGCTGAGAGCAAAATCAACAATGTAATCCTTTTCACAATAGCCACAAAAAACAACAAAATACCTAGGAATACAGCCAACCAGGGAGGTGAAAAATCCTACAACAAGAATTGCAAAACACTGCTCAAAGAAATTAGAGATGACAAAAACAAATTGAAACACATTTTATGTTCATGGGTAGACAGAATCAATATTGTTAAAGTGGCCATACTCCCTAAAACAATTTACAGATTCAATATTACTCCTATCAAACTACCAATGACAGGCTTCCAGCATGATGAAAAAAATGTTTTACAATTCATATGGAACCAAAAAAGAGTCTGAATGGCCAAGGCAATCATAAGCAAAAATAACAAAGCTGAAGACGTCACATTATCTGACTTCAAACTACATTACAAGGCTACAATAACCAAAACCACATGGTACTGGTACAAAAACAGACACATAGACCAGTGGAACAGAATACAGAACCCAGAAATAATGTTGCACACCTACAACATGTGGTCTTTAGCAAAGTTGATGAAAACAGGCAATGGGGAAAAAGACTCCTTATTTAATAAATGGTGCTGGCTATTTAATAACTGGCTAGCCATTTGCAGAAAATTGAAACTGGACCCCTTCCTTACATGATATACAAAAATCACCTCAAGATGGATCAAAGACATACATGTAAAACCTAGGACTGTAAAAACCCTGAAGACACCCTAGGCAATACCATTCCCAACATAGGGCCAGGCAAGGATTTTATGATGAAGTCACCAAAAGTAATTGCAAAAAGAGAAAAAATTGGCAAATGGAACCTAATTAAACTAAAGAGCTTCTGCACAGCAAAAGAAACTATGAACAGAGTAAACAGACAACCTACAGACTGGGAGAGAATATTTGCAAGCTATCTATCCAACAAAGGTCTAATATCCAGAATCTGTAAGGAAGTTAAACAAATTTACAAGCAAAACCCAAATAATCTCATTAGAAAGTGGTCAAAAGACATGAACAGACACTTTTCAAAAGAAGACATTCAAGCGGCCAAAAAGGGAATGAACAAATGATCAACATCGCTGATCGTTAGAGAAATGCAAGTTAAAACCACAATGAGATACCCTCTGACACAATCAGAATGGCTCTTATTAAAGTCAAAAAATAAAAGATGATGGCAAGGTTTTGTAGAAAAAGGAACATTTACACAATGGTGGTGGAATTGTACATTAGTTTAACTATTGTGGAAAGCAGTTTTGGGATCTCTCAAAGAACTTAGAATTAATATTTGACCCAGCAATTCAATCACTGGGTATATATCCAAATGAATATAAATTGTCCTACCATAAAGACACATGCATGTGTATGTTCATTGCAGCACTACTCACAATAGCAAAGACATAGAGTCAACTAAAATGTGCATCAAAAGTAGATTGGATAAAGAAAATGTGCTACATATACACCATAAAATACTATACAGAAAAAAAAAAAAAAAAGAAAAAAGAACAAGATGATGTCCAACACAGATGGAGCTGGAGGCCATTATCCCAAGGGAACTAACCCAGGAACAGAAAACCAAATACCACATGTTCTCACATAAGAGTAGGAGCCAAACATTGAATGCATATGAACACAAAGACAGGAACAACAGACACTGGAACTTACCTGTGGGGGAAGTGTGGGAGGAGGACGAGGATCAAAAAACTGCCTCTCTGGTATTATGCTTATTATCTGGGTGACGAAATCATCTGTACACCAAACCCTGCAACGCACAATTTAACTATAAAATAAACCGGCGCACGTACCCCTGAACCTTAAAAAAATGTTAAAACATTTATTTGATGCAGGTGAATTGAACGATTGGCTGGTATAGGCCAATAGGATCCCCACATTCAGGACAGCTGCTAAATGCAGCCCTTGCTGCTGTACCATGTAGCTGTGGCTCACTGATGGGTGGGCAATTAATTTGGGAAGACTTTTGTGAACCAAAATATTACCTCTTGCCAAACACTAGAGATTATTCTTTCCATTGTTAAATAAACTCAAGTGCATAACTTGCTAGTGCTGAGTCCCAATGTCATTTCTACTTTATTGAGAGTTAATTGTAAGTGTCTTTGGACAGAAAGAGAAGATGCAGTCTTGCATCAGAGTCTGTCCACTGTTAGCTACATAACATCACACATTAAAATTTTCCCAGTTGGAAAATGGAGGCAATAATACACTACTGTCCGTTTTGAGAATCAAATTGGGTAATACATATAGTAGGTGATACATGCGTAAATCCCATATCAGGAATGCTTTCAAATAAAACAAAGCACCATATGTGATGAAGAATGGTTCCGAATTTATTTATTAAGAAATATATAGGTAAGATTCCTGGTTCTCGGGAGATAGCCCAAAGTGATCATTAAAAGAAGGAAGGAGGATACAAGAATCATGAGTATATTGAAAAGAAAACATAGTTGTGAAGATTCTTAATCATTTGCAGAAACTTAAGTTTCTTAGGTGAAGAGAATGAAGCTCTTGACTTTAGAGTCAAAGTTGAGATCATGACTCCAAATTGAGAACACACAAAGCTGGCACATGATCCACAAGGTATAAGAAAAAGAGAATCAGGATGAAGTATTCTGCCATCCCTGAAGCTGATTCACAAGATATTAAACATGCAGAGAGCTCATAAAAATGTGGGCGACAGCATGGTGGCTGTCAGCAGCAAAGTAAACTAGTCCCCCAAAAGATAAGTCAGTTGAGCAGAAAGTTGTTGTGAGAAGATAGTGGTTCTCTTGGGAATTGATCAGCAGCAAGAAGGCTGGCAGCAGCTGGACACACAGGTGGGCTCCAAATTGAGAACACACAAAGTAAGCTGGCACATGATCCACAAGGTATAAGAAAAAGAGAATCAGGATGAAGTATTCTGCCATCCCTGAAGCTGATTCACAAGATATTAAACATGCAGAGCTCATATAAAAATGGGCAACAGCATGGTGGCTGTCAGCAGCAAAGTAAACCATAGTCCCCCCAAAAAGATAAGTCAGTTGGAGCAGAGAAAGTTGTTGTGAGAAGATAGTGGTTCTCTTGGGAATTGATCAGCAGCAAGCTAGTTGGCAGCAGCTGACACACACAGGTGGGCTGAAGCAAGTGGTCCTGCAGCAGGTGGTCTCCGCTACAGCAGGCTGGCGGCAGCAGGGCTGGCAGCAGCTGGATCCATAGCTCTACTTAGGCAACCACAGGCAGGCAGTGACATGTGTGGGTGGTAGCAGGTTCTTCTGCAGTAGACAGGTGCACAGGAGCTGCTGGTCTCACACAGCTGACCCACAGGCAGGTGCAGGTGGTGGGCTGGCAGCAGGTGCTCAGCAGGGAAATTAAGGTGAGGAGGAGAGAGAGAGAGGGAATGGTGGTGGCAGCAGGTGGGGCGCTGGCAGCAGCTGGTCACACAGGTGGTGGTCATGGCAGCAGGTATTTTGACAGCAAGTTGGCGACAGCAAGGCTGGCAGCAGCTGGACACACACAGCAGGAGGGCTGGCAGCAGGGGGTGTGTGCTGCTGCAGGTGGTCACACACAGGTGGCTTCCAGCAGGGTGGTCCTGCAGGTGGTCCTGCAGCACGTAGGCTGACAGCAAGGGGAGCAACAGTTGGTCATGGTGTAAGGGGTGGAGGGTGGGCTTCTGTTCAGAGGTGAATTTCCCAGACCCGATGACCCTTGCAATTGACCTTTATACACCTGGCTCAAAGTTTCAATCAGCAGGACTTTCCTTGCTGCTGTTTACATTGTTTTCCACAGTGCGCTTGTGATCTCAAAGGGTAGTTGTTTCTTTAAGGTTAAACAGATTAAGGTTTAATCTGTTTCTTAATTGTGAATTACTCATAGAAACTTGTTTCAGATAAAGTGGAAGCCCATTTCATCATCAGCATCTTTTCCTGCTCTGACCATCATCTGGTCATATGATAGTTCCTGGTGATCCGGGAGGCTCAGGAAGTTCTGTCTGCCCAGTCTCATAGTTGGCTGTATGTAGACTGGGAAGTGTCTGTGAGGAGAAGCATGATGCTGATATATTTATGGTGACAAAATGAATCCATGCCTGGGCCCAAGACTATTCACCCACCAAATTCTGATTCAAGACTAACAGGCATCTCTCTGTGCCACCCACACCACCTGTGTCTTCACCTCTTTGAACGTCACTTGGGAAGAGAGAGGGAGTCTGGCAGAGTGTGTTCCATGTGGCGTGAGCAGATTGAGAGCAGGTGGATGCAGAGAAATCCACTGGGATTTAGGGCAGCATCACACCCATGCTCTGAGTAACCAGTCATTCTGACTTGGGTTCATGAAAAGGCCGATTACCAGGACGAGAGTGTAGAACTTTCTGTAACATAACTGCTTGAGATTCAGGCCAACGAGCACGAGCTGTGGCTCTAGCCATAACCCTGGTTACTAGCACGGTGCACCTTCCTTCCTTCCTTCCTTCCTTCCTTCCTTCCTTCCTTCCTTCCTTCTTCCTTCCTTCCTTCCTTTCTTCCTTCCTTCCTTCCTTCCTTCCTTCCTTCCTTTCTTTCTTTTTCTTTTCTTTCTTTCTTTCTTTCTTTCTTTCTTTCTTTCTTTTCTTTCTTTGTCTCTCTTCCTTCCTTCCTCCTTCCTTCCTTCCTTCCTTCCTCCTTCCTTCCTTCCTTCCTTTCCTTCCTTTCTTCTCTTCTCCTCTTCCTTCTCTTTTCTTTCTTTTCCTTTCTTTCTTTTCTTTCTTTCTTTCTTCTTCTTTCTTCTTTCCTTCCTTCCTTCCTTCCTTCCTTCCTTCCTTCTTTCTTTCTTTCTTTCTTTCTTTCTTTCTTTCTTTCTTTCTTTCTTTCTTTTCTTTCTTTCTTTCTTTCTTCTCTCTCTCTCCTTCCTTCCTTCCTTCCTTCCTTCCTTTCCTTCCTTTCCTTCCTTTCCTTTCTTTCTTTCTTTCTCTCTCTCTCTCTCTCTCTCTCTCTCCTCTCTCTCTCTTTCGAATTACCCTGTGCTCTGTCGCCCAGGCTGAAGTACAGTGGTGAACTCGGCTCACTGCAACCTCTGCATCCCGGTCCAAGGGGTTCTCCCTGCCTCAGACTCCTGAGTAGCTGGGACTACAGCAGGTGCTCCGCCACCATGCCTGGCTAATTTTTTTATTTTTAGTAGAGAGAGGGTTTCACCAAATTTGTCAGGCTGGTTTCAAACTCCTGACATTGTGAGCTGCCTGCCCTGGCCTCCCAAAGTGCTGATGTTACAGGCGTGAGCCACCGTACAGCTCTCTCTTTATTTCCATTTAATGAAGTAATTAGATGAGTTGAGATGACACCTGATTCATCGTGGAGTTCTAACATGTTTAACACATTTTCTAGATACACCATTCATTTCAGAGGAATGTAAATTATTAATTTCCAACTTGATACAGTATTATATTGTAAATACATCTATGTCCCCAGTACATCTATGTTAGAAATTAATCTCATTCTCTCCCACCATATCCTCTTACCTACTCCAAAGACAGCTAATCACTCTGTTATGTTCTAATCCAGTAGGTAACTTTTGGCTTTAAAAAATGTTCATGTAAATAAAAATTATAATATTTACTTCTCTATTTTGCATAATCAAAAGTAATCCTTATTGCATAGTCATTTTGGACTCTTCATATCAGGAGAGCAGCAGACAGAGAAAGGAGTTACTATTTGGTGAGGAGTAATTATCCTCAAGCCACATCGTGAGAATATCTATAGCTCAGAGATTTACAGAGTATATTAACTTGCTATCAGTGCCATGATAAATGTTAAGTGGCTTAAATTCTATTTTTCACAGTTCAAGGCTTCTCTAGTCTGAAATTAAGGTGTGTGCTGGCAGTAAATGTTGTTTTCATCTGAAGCCTGTATGGGGAAGTATATCTGTTCCAGGTCTCTCTGACTTGTTGATGTCTATCATTCCCATGTGTTTGACAGAATTTTTCTACTATATGCATACAATAAGGTTCGTGAATTTTCCCCTTGTATATAGAGACATCAGTCATATTTAATCAGAGGTCTAATTGTTTCCAATATGGCCTTGTCTGTCATTAATAGCATTTTAAATGATTCTATTTGTGTATGAATTTTGGAGGACACAAATTAAACTCCATAACACTGCAGAATTTACAGTGTGTGTCCATATACATGCCCAGTGATAACCACAGAGATGAGTAAGAACAGCAATCACAGCGGACAATGGTATATATATAGTGCAACTAGAGGGGCTCAGACCCTTCAGAAGGACATTCTGAGCTACTGCTTCGTAGTTATCTTCTAGACCAACAAGAGTGCTGGCCAGGGGTGAAAGGAGAATAGAACTGGTGGTACTAATGGAGATTATGAATCTCACAGGCACTGTATTACAGCAGAAGTAAGTGTAGCTTATTTCATTGGCCTTCATTTTATATCTCACTTTCTCCCCTAACTTTTCCTTTCCTTCTTCATTTTTCTTTCTTTGTTTCCTCTCTCTCTTCCAATCACCTTTCTTCTCCTTCCTTCCTCTTCTTCATGTCTTTTTTTTCATTCCTTTTCCCTTCCCTTCTCCCTTTCTTCTTCCTTTCCCTCTCCTTCTCTCTCTTTCTTTTTGTTTCTTTCTTTTCTTCCTCCTCCTCTCATCTTCTATTCCTTCTCTTCCTCTCCTCTGCTTCTTTTCTTTCTTCTTCTTCTAGAGCTTCTTTTTTCGTGGCTGTGCACTCATAAGCATTTATACAGCAAAGATCTGATGTGAGTGGAGGTACTTGTAGGTCTCAGACAAGTTTTCATAAGTTCAACGCATATATCTTGCACAGGCTGTTAGTGTGCTGATTAATTTCCATCATCTGTCAGAGTCTGCATCTCTGTGGCCAACGGCTCTTGTATTGCAGCTGTAGAAAGTCATGTCACCTGTGAAGGCAACACAGAGAAAAACACTCAACCAACAATTCTGGAGAACTGATTTATAAAGACCTAGCTTCCTATATTCCTGAAGTAGGTAATTCTAGCTGTGTGTTTTTCATCTTTTCTGATAGATTTCCCTTTAGTTTAAAGTTTAATTGCTCACTGTGATACTGACTTAATAGTGTGAACCCTCCTTTCTGTATCACTTCAGTTCCTTACCAGTGTGTAATCTGCATTTCCCAATAAACTAGTTTTTCCTCTCCTGAATCTTTCTTCAGAGTCTCTTCTGGGAGAAACTTATCTGTGACATTATGTTAACTCCCTCAGCCTCAATTTTATTCTACCATGGAACATGAACACCTATTCTGAAAGTTTGTTAAAGAATTAATGATAATGTACACAAAGCGTTTAGCAAATGCCCATCATATAGCAGGCAATCCAGAACATATTAGTGTTTGTTTGTTCAGAAATTCCAATTTTAATGTTGAAGATAAGAATACTTTGTAATAATTAACTAGATCAACTAAATACTTTTTTCCTATCTGTACTGAGGTCTAATTGACAAATAAAAATCGTATCTATTTCAGGTATACAAGGTGATGCTCTGATACATATATTCATTGTGAATAATATATTTGTTAGGTCACTTAGTTACCATTTCCTTTTTATTTTTGTGGTGCGAACATCAAGATCTAACTTGGTAAACTTCAAATATATATGATAAAGTGTTTTTAGCCAGTCACATTACTGTACAGTAGATGCTGAACTGATTCATCTTTCATAACTGATGCTGGTCAAAGAGAATGTCCTAGTTTTCATCTCCTTTATTTCATCACCAAATGATGATTACAGGTGGGGCTCGCCTCTTCTTAGCCAAGTCTTCAGCGCATTCTAGATTCAGTCTGCAGAAGTTTGCATCTGCTGGGTCATGGAAATCCCCATGTTAGCCTATCAGAGGTATCATTCTAGCACTCCTATGCTGGTAGGAGGTCCCAAGAAGGGTGACCCAGGTCCCCCGACCTTATATTTCTCCCAGAGCTCAGTATCAATCAATCATTCCTTGGTGAATGCTTAACTTACACTCAGCCCAGACACAGCATCAACCTCTGTCTATTGACTTCTACGAATGCACACAAGTTCTACTTTGCTCCTTTCTTACATTCTTCTGATTTTCCTGGAAACACAAGTTTTTCATTTCTTTAGATGCTTCATATTGGCATCACAAAATGCAGAAGACTGTTCTTTCCTCTCCTGGCTCAGTGATTACGGATTGTGCCAAGTCTTATATGCCCATTGAATAGTTTCACCTCAGCTTTGTTCTTACATAATTTTCCTCATATAACATTTCACTAGGGGACAAATTGTCTTAATGTGGCAGAAAGATACGGTCTGTATTTTACAAGAAATAACTTAGTTTCATTTACTTTCTCAATAGGTATTCAGGAGATGAAGGCTGTATAAGAATTTTATTTACATGATATCGAGAATAAGTTTCTTCAGATGAGACTCTCTCTCATGAGTCCACAATAAATTCCCAAGCATTTTTTATGCAGATGCATAGAATGAATGGCTGGTCAGAGGCTGAGACAAAAGATCCTCTGCATCTAGGAGGCAGTCCCTGCTGCCATATCATGCAGCTGTTGCTTACTGAGGTGTGGGAAACTAATTAGGGAATTTTTTTTTGTAAACAAAAATGTTAGCTGCAAACGTGAGAGATTATTTATCTCATTGTTAAATAAACTCAAGTGCATGTCTTGC